GTCCCATAAGCTCAAAATTGCTCTGAGACTTTTGGGACTCTGAAGCAAAGTCATATAAGAATTCCCCCCCCCCCATATCAAAATATTAAAGTCATGCTTCAAAACCATACTTATAAAATATACATTAAACATATACAAAATATATTTATTATCTTAAAATTGAATTAAGACTTTTAGGAGATCCTATGTAATGGAATCCAGTTGGGTCAAATGCCGATTGAAATGAGCATTAAGAAACAGACAGAGTATGTTGTTTTATTTTTCCAGTACTTGTGAGAGCTCAGCACAAGCTGATACTCTGTAATCAATGATCTGAAACAACTTTAACTTGACCTACGAGTTTTTCATTCACTGAAATTACATTGGCTTTGCTCCTGCTTTTAATTAATATGAGAACAAGATGGTTCTAGAACTGAACAACTGTTCATTATTAAATCTAACTTTTTTAACTTTGTAAAACCATTTCAGGCATGGTTGTTAACTGTTTTTCTGTTAAGAACACAATTTGGTGCTCACTGATTACACAGCATTTTTGTTGGTATCAGTGGGAAAAAAAGGTTCAACTGCAATTGGTAATATTATAGTAATTGAAAACACTCCCTGGGGCCCAAACTCTTTTAGTTTTTTATATTAATTTACTTTATTTCAGTGTATAAAGATTTTCATTTTTAAATTACGTGAAAAGACTTTCCTTTACAATTCTGCATTGGAAGACGAATATTGTAATGGGAAAGGTACCAGACTTGAAGTGCCTGAATATCAATGCCAACTCTACTATTTACTACTTGTTAGACCCTGGGCAAGCTAAATCCCTCTATGGGCCTCAGTTTCCTCATCTGTAACAAAAGTGTTATTCCAGATGGCCTCTAAGGTCATTTCCAGCTCTAAATGATCCTGTACTCTCTCTCTCTGATATGCACACACAGTTTTGAGAGAATATACAAGTCTATTAAGGAATTGAATTGTTCATAATCCCTGATACTTAACTAGAAAGCCTAAAAAAATCAATATGGTTCAAGATACCAGAGAGATCTCAATAACCTAGAACTTAATAGCTCTCTAAATACGTATGTGCATCTAGTAGAATGTTAGTCTTTCTATTACAACTATTCAAACCTATCCATTCAGAAACACTCAAATTGAAAAATGATAAATTGTAATTAGCTAGGGAATGAAAGTAGCATAAATTGTTATGTTATTAGAGGACTTTCAAATGGAACACAAAAACTACATGATCCGTGCTAGGGCTACAAGATTGACTCAGAGACACTTTTAAAATGGCTGCTCTTAGTATCACTAAAAGGACAAATTACTAGTCAATGAGTGGAAAGTGATTAACAGTGGCCTATATATTCTGGTTTATAAACATAAAAAAGTAAACAAATCCATCTTGCTGGCTTTAGAAATGAAGGTGAGAAAAAGAGGTAATACTTATCAATAAATGTAAGTAGAGTAGTCCTTACAAAAATCATTATCAACAAAAAATTATTTGGCTATGGGACAAAAATTCTCTTTCCTCTTCATATGTTACCTCTCCTTTTTGTTTGGTTTTCTTGGGAACTGATGTTTACAGGCTAACTACTGAGAATATCTGCTACTGGCAGATGCTTACGTTTCATTATGAAAAATCTAGATGATTAGAAACAGACAAATAACAGCACAGTAAATCTGTCTTTTTGGTACTGAAAAATTCAAGCACTCCTTTACTTATTCAGTCATCAAACGTTTATTAAGTTCCTATTGCATATGTCTGGCACTGTGCCAGGTAATGGAGAAGACAGAAACATCAAAAAAAATGACTTCACAGAGCTTAGAGTCCAGCAGAAGACATGGCATACACAGAATTAGAAGAAACTGAGATTATATGGTCCAACTCATTTTACAAATGAGAAAACCAATAACCAAAAACTTCAAGTGACTTGTCCAATAACAAAAGTAGCAAATTACAGAATAGGAGGCAGGAAGGAGTGAGTAACTAGAACCTAGGTTTTCTGAGTCCTAGTGGAGAATTCTTTGGATATTTATAAAGACACATAGACAGAAATCTTTTAGAAGTAGGAGATAATCTAATGCACAATGAGGACAACGTTATGAAGCACGAATATCCCTGTACTTTAAAGATCTATGATTTTGTCAGTATGGATACTCTGCCATGCCAATGAAGATTACAAGCTATCTATAACTTAGTCATTCACGTCTGGAAATTTGTACTTGCTGAAAAATCCATCACTTTGTATTCAACCTGCTACAAGCCTCTCCAAAATTAGCCAGATCTTCAAATGACAGACATACATTCTGCTGCTCAGTCCATCCTCAAAGCCTGTCACCTTAATAGAATTTGCTAAAGTTTGAATTCCACTGGCATAATTTGAAAATTCAGAGTCACCTCCATGCCTCAGAATTACGTGGTTAAAAATAATAGCTATAGAATGAGGCAATGTATATTCATTGAATAATACGACATTCATAGTCCCAAGTTTAGTGGTCTCCACATTAAAGAGTCAATAAAAGCTGTAGCAGAAACATTAAAAAATCTAATTATCATCAATATGTAATTACAGAGTATTAGAAACAAGGTCTAAAGATTATCTTTTATAACTGCAGTACCCATAATAGATTTTTAAAAACTCAGCTTAACCTTCTTATCATTCCTGGGAGATCTATTAAATTCTTAAGAATTATAAGAATAGCTTGGGAAAATCTTTCTGAAAAGGGAAGTTTCTTTACAAACTAAGTTAATATTTGAGTACAAAAAACCCAACTTTTTCCTGTATAAGTTATAGATGATATGGCAATAGGCATTAGTCAAGGGCGTTTTCACAGTAATTCTACACAGCAATAACTGTGAATGAAATATACATTTAATAATATTTGTGGTTGGTTCACTTTGTTACTATGAACATAGTATTAGTGAGGCTATGGTTCTAGGTCCAGTTCTGATGTGGACAAATTATTTTTCTCTTGTTATAGGTCACAAACTATACATTATTCCTGCTTATCCATATTACAGATCAATGCAGTTAGTCACTGTGTCTAGCAGGACTGGTACACACCAGTCCCTACTATTAAAACAGATAACATGATGGATACCAGCCACATTGTAGGGGGGACATAGTGTAAGGTAAAGTTTCTAGAGAAGGCCAACCAGAACTGTGAAGGGCATTTAGATCACTCCATAGGAAAACCATGAAGAGCAATTACGAATGTTTACTATGGAGAACAGAAGACACTTTTTTTTTTTTTTTTTAGGCAATTGGGGTTAAGTAACTTGCCCAGAGTCACATAGCTAGTAAGTGTCAAGTGTTTGGTCTGGGGCCAAATTTGAACTCAGGTCCTCCTGTCTTTAGGGCCAGTGCTCTATCCACTCTGCCACCTAGCTGCCCCTGAGAACAGAAGACTTAAGAAAGTACGTGAGAGTAGTCTTTAAGTATTTGAAGGACTGTCATTGTGGAAAGGGGATTAGAATTGTTCTGTTTGGCCCAGCAGAGTAAAAGTGAGTAGAAGTTATGAAAAGGAACATTTTGGCCTTATCCTGGGTCTTCTTTTTTCTCTATATACTCTTTCTTTTGATTATTTTATCAGCTCCAAGAGATTCAATTGAGTAATTATCATCTGATCATTCAATATCATCTACCTTTGTAGATGGTTCTCAGATTTACATATCCAGATCTTTATATTCTAGTTTCTCTTGAGCTGTATCCCCACATCACAAATGGCCTATTGGATGTTTTGAACTGGATATCTGTAGACATCTCAAACTCAATATGTTCAAAATGGAACACACTATCTTTCCCCTACCCCTATCCCTGTTGTGAACTTCCCCATTACTAGCAAGTATACTACCCTCCTTCTCGTCACTCAGGTTCAAAACCTTGGTTTCATGCTGGACTTCTAACTCTCACTCTTTCCACATGTACAATCACCTGCCAAATGCTGTCATTTCTTTATCTGCCACATCTCTCATGTACACACACTTTTCTCCATTCACACAGCCACCATCCTAGTATAGGCCCTCATCATCTCTCTCCTGAAATAGGCTTTTGGTTGGTCTCCCTACCTCAAGTCTCTCCACATGCCAATATATCCTCCACTGACTGACGAAAGTGACTTTCCTAAAGTACAGGTCGATCAGCCACAACATACTTATTAAACACTTACTATGTGTCTGGTGTATTAGGTGATTAGATTTTAGACTATGCTTATTTTCTTTTGAGGACATCCTTAGACCTAGGAAGCTGTATTTTCAAGGGACATAGAAAAAAGAAAACATAAAGTTACAGAAGCTTCCTTCAGTAATGAATATCACAACTTATCTGTGACTCAGTAGATAAGTCTTTGGGGGTTGACTGAGGTTAAATGACTTAGGAATTGTTTGATTTTTTTTTGTCTTTGTAGCCGCAGAACATAGCATAGTACCTGGCACACAGTGGTTGGTTAATAAATATTTCCCTAATGAATGAAAGTAGATGTATTTTAGCAGAATAGAGAAACACTTCCTGCTTTTGCAAAATTCCTGTTGGGCTTAAGAAGTCTTAAATTGTTCTTCAAGAATTCTCAAGAGCACATCACAAACAGGAAAAAATGTTTTTATATAAAAATGTAAATCTTTTTCAAATATTCTTTAATTTATAACATGAGACAATAAGATAAGCAAGCATCTCCAAAAGTCTTCAAAGTCTGAAGATACTATAGAAAATGTTTGAATGTTTAGGGATTGTTTTTGACTTTTTTTGTATCTCCACTGCTTGGCACAGTCCTGGGCACAAAGCAAGCATCTGATAAATGCTTTTCTACTTGAAAAATGTAGGCTTCAGTCCTCTGGAAGACTTTTTTTTTTTTTTGACAGATTTAGAAGGGTTCCTTTTTAAACAAACAAATAAATGAATAAATATATCTCTGTTAAAATTAGATCAAGAAACATCTATGAGCAAAATGCATGAATCATTTAAACACAAAACCATGCAAAATAAATGGTCATAGAGGATTAAAGCCCAACTCACCGATTGTAGAAGTCATCTCTGTAATAATCATAATCAAAGACATAACCACTGCAAAAGGAACAGAAAAATAATCATCAGCTGGCATTCAGTAAACTTATATTAATGGCTTTGTGGTATTACAATATTGTTGACTTTCTTATTTCAGACCAATTTTTTAATATATTTACTTGCAAATTGACTTTATAAAGTAACATACACATTTCATACAAAGGTGTATGAAGCTACTGCCAATTTTTTTTTTTTACAAATATGAACTCATAATTTCCATTGGCAGGTTAGAAGATAATAAAGAATAGTAAAATGAATAAGCATTATGTAACTTGGGGGGGAGGGATAGATGGGCATGAATAAACTCCTTCCTTCAAAAGCAGATCATTAATTAGCATATGCTATTCTATTCAGGATCTCAGATTTGCCTGAGGAAAATGAAAGATTAAATGACTTATCCAGGGTCACAATACCAGGATATATCAGAATTGAAGCATAAACCCAGGTCTTGCTGAATCTGAGGCTACACCTGTATCCCCTACACAATGCTGTCTCTCATGTTATGTAACATAATTAATACGTATAATTGATTGTGTTCTTTCCCTTTCCCCTACCCAAAGGGAGAAGATAGTATAATTTTCACTATTTTTCTTTCCATAGGATCAGTTAATAGACTGCAGAAAGGATGAAAGAAAAGATTTAATGGCTCACTGATAATGTGTATGATAAATAGAAATGTGCCTGTTTCAGAAATTTGGCACTTTTACATTCAGTAAAGAGTGAGGTCTATTTCTAAAAAGGAAGAAGAAGCTAAGAAAGTTTTGTCTGAATGTTATGAATAACAATATGGTCTTTTAACTTTTTTTCTTTCCAAGGGGGTTCATGTAGTCATTGAGAAGATGGATCTGAACAGCCAGAAAATCAAGACAGATGGGTGAAAGTCTAAAACAAAGAAACTCACAAATATTTGCACAACAAAAGAAAACATAAACAGAGAGTTTAGGTAAAGATAAAAGTCCTCAAACCTTAATTTTGTAACAGATGGAATATTTTCACTGGCAGGAAATGATTTTATTTTTACCTGCTCCACTTTAATCAATTTTGGTTCTGACTTTTGTAACTTTTTTTTTTTTAATTGCAAAAGCCTTAAAGTACTACTGAGCTCTGTGGCTTCCTTTAAGTCCCAACTAAAATCCTACCTCCTACAGGAAGCCATCCCCAACCTCTTTTAATTCCAGTGCCTTCCTCTGTTAATTATCCACTATTCAGCTTTATAGCTTACTTCTTTGCATTTATGTATTTGCATTTTATATCCCCCATTATTGCAGGTTCTTTGAGGGTAGGGGATGTCTTCCCTCTGTTTGTACCTTCAGTTCTTAGTATCTGGCACATAGTAGGCACTGAATAAATATTTATTGATTGGTTGATTGATTAAAGTAGAGCCATGATACCACACTCTTAAGTTCTTGTTATTGCTTGGAGTGACATTGCTGGTTGACAAAATAATGATTTTTTGAAACAGTTATACATATATATCCATATATTATTATTATTATTTAGGCAATTGGGGTTAAGTGACTTGCCCAGGGTCACACAGCTAGTAAGTGTCAAGTGTTTGGTCTGAGGCTGGATTTGAACTCAGGTTCTCCTGACTTTAGGGCCGGTGCTCTATCCACTGTGCACCTAGCTGCCCCCTTCATCCATCTATATGGATGTATATGTATATAGTAAAAGCTTGATTTACAGTAACATACTTAATCTATCAGCCATTGTGGTTCTGACTTCATTAAGCTTTTTAAACTTTCCCCCTTCTTATTCTTGGAGCTCAACCACTGAAAATCCTTATAGGAATTCTCCTAGGTAGACACATTAAATTCACTTAACTCAAGGGCAGAACCATTGCTCTCTCTATGCTTGCACCATGAAGTATGCTAACTGATGAAATGATCCGGAGAATTGAGGGTAAAAACCCAGTTTTGTCAAATACATATAGATAATTGAAGCAAGTGATTTTTACTGCAATTATTCAGATAATTACTTTAGTTTACTTTGGGTAAAAAAGATTCTAAACAGACAAATGAAATTAGATGCTTTAAGAAGAAATGATCCATAGAATAATTAATAGGAAGAAAATATATTCAAACAGCAGGGGATAACATGAAGCATGAAGCTGCTTTGTTATCCTTTTTGTGAGGTCAATCTGTCCTTCCATTTTCCTTTAGTCCATTACCTCTGTTCTAGATTAATTTACCTTCCTCTCTACTGTTGGGCTGGTCAGCCACTTTGGTGTTATTATTTTTTTTCTTTCAGATCGGTTTCTATTGTCTTTTTGTTCTCACTCTAGTAATTCTAAATACTGGGTAATCACCACCATCTGCCTTCTATTCTTGTGTTCAGTCCTTCAGTCATATCCAACTCATTGTGACCCCATTCTGGGATTTTCTTGGCAAAGATCCTGGAGTTGTTTTCCATTTCCTTCTCCAGCTCATTTTACAGATGAGGAAACTGAGGCAAATAGGGCTAAGCTACTTGCCAGGGTCACACAGCTAGTAAGTGGACTTGAGGACTCAGCAAGATGGGTCTTCTTGATTCCAAGCCCAATTGTCTAGCCACTGTGCTTCCTGACTCCCAGCCCAGCACTCTATCCATTGCACCATCTAGCTGCTCTATATATATGTATCTCATTTATGCGTAGTTAATTGCATGTTATCTTCTCCACTAGAATGTGAGCTCCTTGATAGGAGTGACCACATTTTTGCCTTTCTTCATGTTCAGAATAGAAACAGAACCAGAACTGGATTTTTAAAAACCTTCGCCGACCTTCCTACAAATTCGTGCTATCACCCTATCCCTCTCTTTTTAATCCTAAACTTCTGACAACAGAAATCTATACTTGCTCCTGCCATGGTCTCACTACCAACTCATTCTTTAGTCTCTTTTTAATCTGATTTTTCAATACTGCTGAAATTCACTACTGAATTTATCACAAAAACATCATCATCATCATCATCATCATCATCATCATCATCATCATCATCAACAACAGGCTCTTTTCAGGCCCTATTCTTCTTGACTTCTCTGTGGCACTATACAGAGTTAACCATTCTCTCCTTCTTGATATTCTCCTTCCACAGTTTCCCTGACATTGTACAAAGTCATTCTCTTGCCTATCTTGATTGTCCTCACTGGTTTCTCTTCCTCTTCCCACACCTTAAATGTGGGTGTTCTCTAATGCTGTTCTCATCCCTCTTCTTCTCTGTTTTAGAAATAGGATCCATTGCTTTGATTTCAATTAAGTTTACTCAGATAACTCCCAGTCCTATATATCCTGCCCTGAACTTTTCCATGAGCTTCAGTTTTGAAATTTCTAGTTTTTTACTGAACACTTCCAACTGAGATATCTCACAGTTAACTCAAACTCAACATCAGCAAAAATGAATTTATCATCTTCCCTTTCCGACCAGTTCCTCCTCATAACTTGCATTTTGATAATGATGGTACCTTTCTCCCAGTCAGCCAGGCTTGTGACTTTGGTAGGCATCTCCTAATAGATTTCCCTTCCCCTAGACTTTTCCTTATCTAGCCCATTCTTCATTCTACCGCTAGAGTAATTTTCATTATAGAAAGGTCTGACCATTTCACCTCACTGCTTAAAAACTTTGCATAATGCCCCACTGCTACCAAATAAAACGCAACCTCTTTGGCCTGGCATTGAGGCTTTTTTATCCTCCTCTCTGCATTTACCTCTAAACTATCAAACGAAATATATTACTCCATTCTCTGTACTCATTCTGCCCCCCCGCCCCTGCCCGAAGCAAAATGACATGCTAGCTGTTTCTTGATTTCAGCTATGTTTCTCCCATATCCATACTTGGAATGATCTCCTAAATCTGCACTGGATGAAAAATCTTCCCTTCTTTCACAATTCAGTTTATGAGGCACCTCTTCCATGAAGTCTTTCCTAATCTCTCTAAGTGTTCTCTCCCTCTTTGATTTTCTCATATGGTTAAATGTTTAGTAAATCTATCTTTCCTTCCTTCCTTCCTTCCTTCCTTCCTTCCTTCCTTCCTATTACTTTTATCTCCTTTATATGTTTCTATTATGTCTTGCATTACAATTATCCAAGTATTGGTCTTATCCTCACTACTGTTCCTTTGGGGTAGCAACTGTGTTTTGTTTCATCTTTTTTTTTAAGGTGCCTCATAAAGTGCATTGTACATAATAGGCACTTAACCCGTTTGATCAATGAGTGAATGAAACATTCCTTGATAGAAATCCTTTTATTTTGCATTCAACAGTGGATGAAGTGGCCTTCTCTGTGAATTTCTTTGCCTGAAGATGGAGGAGGACAAAAGATTTATTATTCAGATTTGTCATCTTCAATCATCAGCATACCTTAGACTAAGGTATTTTCTAAGACTATATAGTTAGAATATTAGATCTGTATCTGTGTGTGACTGCTAAACTTCATTGGCTAGAACATGGTGCTAATGAGATCATGGTTACAGATTCAGTTCTCTCATTATCCCCAATGTTTTTCTGATATGTAGCCCAACATTTTGTTTTACTAATTTCCAGATAAATTCACATCATGAAGTCAAGAGCATAAAAAACCCCCAAAATATATTTGTAATTTAATAATCATGATAAACACTTATTTACATTAATCATGAATAGCACTTGATTGTTTTAAAGACTAAGCCTGTCCTTAGGACTTCTGGAGCAGCAGTCAACACAGGTCAATACCATGAAAATTAGGAAGTAATTCTAGGAGAGGAGTAAAGAGATAGAAGGGGACAGGCACTCATAGCTGAGGCTGGGGGATGGGGGACCAATACCACTGCTGGTATCACATGAATGATGCTTTTTCTAGTGACCTTGCTCCCTTCCTTATTCCTTTTTTTCTTTTTTAACTCTTCACAGGTAAGTCCTCTAAAGCTTTCTTCTCTCTTCCCCTCTTTTGCCATCCTTTTTTAAGCTATCACAAGCAAGCATTGCCAGTAGATACTGTCAAGTTCATATTTCCAAAATAACATAGATAACATTTACATAGCACTCTA